TTTTCAAAGAGTCCTTTCTTTCTGGCTACTTTCAGTATTTTTCTATCTTTCATTTTTAAAAGTGTAATTTGGAATTTGGATGTGCCATGGCATGAATTTCTTTGCTTTTTTAAAAACCATTATTATGCATTTTCCCAGATTCCTGGTTCTGTGACTCCATATCTGTTTCATCAATTTTGGGACATTTTCACCCATCATTTGTATGAATACTGATTCAATTTCCCATTTACTCTCTTCTTCTGGAGACCTACCATATATAGTAGCTGTTTTTATTGTTTCACAGGTATATATAGCTCTGTTTTTGCTCTTTTCTAATCTATTTTCTTTACTGTTTAGATAGGTAAATTCTGTTTATCTTTATTTAAGTCCTATGTATCTCCATTCTGTTATTCTGAACTCTACTATAAAGTCCATCCAAGAAGTTTGTTTAATTTTGATGATTTTATTTTTCAGATTATGATTTTTTTATATTATATTATTATTTATTTTCCTCTTGTTATTGTTGACTGGGGGGTCGATTTACTTTTACTGTTGATTGACACATAATAATAATACATATTTATGGGATACAACATGATATTTCTATTCATAATATATTTTGTAATTATCAAATCAAGGTAGTTACCATATCCAACACCTGAAATATTTTTCATTTCCTTGTGGTGAGAGCATTCAAAATCCTCTCTACAAGGTATTTTGAACATATAAAACATTTTTGTTAACTAGCCACCCTACTGTCCAACAGAGAGACAGAGTACCAGAACCTTTCCTCTGATTTAATATAACATTGTTAATAGGTACAATGTTACAGTTTTATAATTCAGTTTGGTTTATTATTTTAACTTCAATTTCTTTGCTGAATTTTTTTTTCATTTCTTTCAAGAAAATTAGTGTTTGTTTGGTGAAGAATTTTTTTAAACATATTTTCTTTTCTTTTTTAATACTTTTATTTCACTTATTTATTTTTATGTGGTGCTGAGGATTGAACCCAGGGCCTTGCGCGTGTGAGGCGAGTGCTCTACTGCTGAGCCACAACCTCAGCCAGGTGAAGCATTTTTTTGATGGCTGTTTTAAAACACAATTAGATCATTTTGATGTCTTTGTTGGTGTCTTTGTCTTTTCCTATTCAATTTGTGAACATTTTAATTCTTGATAGGACTAGTTATTATTGTATTATGGACATTGAGGATATCATCATAAGATATATCCGTGTGTGTGTGTGTGTGTGTGTGTGTGTGTTTGTGTGTGAAGCAGTTTTCCTGTTTGAGGTTAAACTAGAATTTCTAGGAAAGAGTACATGTTTGGACTTCTGCTGGGCCCCACTGGAGAGGTTCTGACCATGGAAATGTACAAGGCAATGTTCCTCTGGTGAGCAAACTCGAGGGGTGGGGGGTGTAACAGGTGCCCTTTTCCCCATGGTTGGAATATTTTGCAGTCTTCCCCAGGCACTCTTGAGATAACCAATGTATGCTTGGCAGGAGCACTTGTCTAATCATCACCCAAACATCTTACCTTGTGACCAAATGTAACCTATTGATATAAATAAAGCCAGCAGCTCAGAGGAGCAGCCATTTGGCCACTTAGCCATTGCTGCCTCTGCATCTTGCTGCTGTCTCCTTTTGCTTTTTTTACACCCCACTGATACCAGAGTACCAAAAATGGAGTGTGACTCACACTGCCTCCTTCCAGGTGGGTGAGGTGGAAGTCTAGCACCCCCTCTGCCATGTTGACTCCTTTCAGATGGAAGCAGAGGAAGTGGGGTCCTCATGTGCATGCCTCCTCCCTCTGAGTAAGCTGTGCTCACCACTGGGCAGTGCTGCCTCTAGGAAGGGGGAGGAGGAGAGCGGGTGGCACTGCTTTGTTGTTGCAGGTGGGGAATCTCAGTTCCCCCTGGCTGCACACAGGGGAGGGGACAGAATACCCAGAGTCTCACCTCACATCATCTCATTAAGTCTGTGGCTGCCTGGTAACAGAGGAGGCTCATTTCCCCAGTGGAACCACCAACACCAGCCAGGCAGGGGGCTGGAAGGAAGGGAGGGGTGAGGATCAACCCCCTGGTTGGCCCCACTGAAACCAGAAGGAGCAGGAGCGGGAGGATTCTACCTTTTCATTAGTGTTTGTCTGAAGAAGGTCGAGAATTGCTAACAGGTGTTCTTTTAAGGCTACTTTTCCCCCACATTTTTGACTAAGGACAGGTTTTTGTTAACATTTTTTTGGTCTGTGTCTGTTGGTGATCCTGGGTTGGAGGCTCTGTTTGCTCCTTCACAGTAGATGGAAGCAATAAGGAAAGCCAACAGACTCTCCACTATTTTCTTCCTCCAGTCTTGAGAGCACTTAGAATCTGCCTTCTGAAGTCTTCCTATATTCATTTGTTGTGTTCTATCTAGAGTTTCTTTTTAGTAATAAGAGGGAAGTCCTGGGAGGAATGAGGATAATTCATCTTCAGTTAACCAGAAATCTCTGCCTTCAAACATCAAAAAGTACTTATCCAGATTCTTATTTTTGTTTGTTGTTTCAGAGAATCTCATACAAATTATCCTGTCACTGTCAATTTATATTCAGATTTGGACATCTCTGTATTTTGAACAGAAAGACTTTGCCAGAAGTAAATGTGTCAGAAATAGTGTCCCCTAGAGCCAAATGTTCTGTTTGTCAACCTTCTAAGGGTATATATCTTAAAAGAAATCAAAGAATTAAGAGGACAGTTGTGATCTTGATCCTTTGCTTATCCTCTATGTGTCTTATCTTCTGTAAAATAAGATCTCAAAGTCAGCAGAATCAATGGTTCAAGAAGGAGCAAAAGTTTCATTCAGCCATCCATTAATTTATCAATTTTTTCATTCATTCATATCCAATATGCATTTAAGTTCTAGGAACTATATGAAAATTAGGAACTATGTTCCAGGAACTGTGTGAAAATTAGAGTCTTGGGGAGGAGGAATTTTTGGTAGTTTCCTCTGTGAGGCTTCCAGCATTGTGAAAACACAAGCACCTGAATAAATAACTACCAGTGCACTAAGTATTTTGAAGAAAACACCTAAGGTTCTACAAGAGGATAATGGTGTTCATAGTATGGTCTGAAGCTTTTCCAGAAGGCACCCTAGAATTGGTCAAATAACATATAGGTTGGTAGCTGTAGCATCGTTAGGTTTTGCCTAGGTAAAGGAAAACGTGTATTTTACGAAAAGTCCAGAGGCAGCAAATAATGGGGGTATGTTTAAGGATTTGAAAGAAAAACAAATCATTGGTTCATAGAATCTGTATTCTCAGATACCTAGAGGAAAATTCATAAGAGATGGAAAGAAAACAAAGGTCATATTCAGGAAGTTATAGGACATGTTAAGAAAGGTATCTTTATTCTAAAATCTTCAGAAATTTTAAGAAAATTATTTATATTTATGGCTATAGTTGGCAAAGAGAGAATGAATTGGACGAGACTTAGAGACAGAAGAGAAAAATCTAGATAGGGTTGTATTAGTTAAGTTTCCCCAGAGAGACAGGTTTACACACAGAGACATGAGTACACACATATGCACATATACACACATCTATTTCAGAGAGGGAGAGAGAAAGAAAAAGAGACTGAAATTTTAGGGATTTTGTTCACATGGTTGTGGGGGCTGGAAAGTCAAAAATCCAAAGGTCAGGTGAGCAGATTAAAAATACGGTGAGAGTTGGTATTTCAGTCCAGAGTCCAAAGCCACTCTGAACACAGAAGTTCTTCCTCTTCAAAAGACCTGAGTCTTTTTTGCTTAAAGTCTTTATCTGAACACAGCCCATCCATACTGTGAAGGATGACCTCCTTTAGTCAATGACTGCTGATTTAAATGTCAATCACATCTAAAAAGATACCATCAAATGAGTGTCTATAGTGGTATTGTACCAAATAACTGGCCACCACAGTCTATTCAAGTTACCAAGTAAAATTAACCCATCACAGTGGTGCTATCTATCATAAGCAAAACATGGAGGATCTTATTTTGAAGGATAAGTGCTAATAATGAAGATGGAAAAGAGTAGTAGATAAATGTTGGTCTCAGAATGGACAAGACATTGTGATCAAATATAGGAGTGTAGGGAAAGAAGTAAATTACCCTCACACTTCTGGATCAAAAAGCTGAGTCAATAATAGTGCCCCCTACTAGAGGGGAATAAGTTGTGAATAAAGAAAGGACAGGAAAAGATAAATAAATTTTGTAGTCATCAGCATGTAGATGTAAAGATAAAACTCTCAGGGTGAAAATATGCATCCCTTAAGCTTCCTGACCATAAATGACAATATCTAACCATGGGTGAGTCACTCCAAGCATGTTCCACTCTTTCCTCAAAGATTGCAGGAATTGTGTTCATTTATACATAGAAAATCCCCTTTTGACCTGACAAAGAAATTCACACATTAGTCAGGGACATCTTAACATTTTCTTCTGCGGTGAGCCTTCTATATCCAAGGCTGAACTCATAGGCTAGGAACACAGACCAGAATTATAGGGGACCACAAAACCAATATCCAACAGATAATCACAGTGCAAAAACAAACTAAAAAACACAACTCTAGCAATTTTATTTTCTGTTCTACTTTGTAATTTTCTTTCAGAATGCACACCCAATCATAAATGACATTATCATGTACATTGCAGGATGAGTTGTGGTTGAAAATGAATACAACCTTAAAGATTGTATGCACAATCACCTCAATTTATAGTGATAATTACTTCTGAAAAAATATGAATACAAATGAAAAAGAATTTTATGCAGATTATGTTTATGGGAAAAAATTTGTTATTCTTAAATATAAATTAAATTTATTAAAGCTAATTCATTACAAACTTATGATTTACTATTTGATATCTAAAAATAAACCCTTCTACATTTACTAAAATACTCCACATGGGCTAATTATGTACCAGTAGGTATATTTTAACCAAGGACACACAATTTCCTTTTATTAATATATCTATGAGATATTAGTACTCTATCTAGTCTAACCAAAAAACAGATAATTAAGAAAATATTTTCCTACCAAGTGCTCTCTTCAGAGCTCCCTTAATTTCCTGGTTCCTGAGACTGTAGATGAGGGGATTCAGCATGGGGATCACCACTGTGTAGAACACAGACACCACCTTGTTCTGGTCAGTGGAATAGTTGGACCTGGGCATCACATAAATGAAGGTAATGGTCCCATAGAACAGAGTGACTGCAGTGAGGTGGGAGGTGCAGGTGGAGAAGGCCTTGTGGCGCCCTTCAGAGGAGCGCATCTTCAGGACTGTGGTGAGGATGTAGATGTAAGAGAGGACAATAACAAACACTGTGAACACGATGATGGAGCCAGCAGAAAATGTGGAAACAATTGCAGAGACACCAACATCAGAACAGGAGAGCTCAACTAATGGAGCAAAATCACAGAAAAAATGGTTGACTCGATTTGGTCCACAGAAGAGCAAAGAAAAGACAGAAAGGGTAAATGAAGCACCATTGAGGAAACCCCCTGTATAAGCCACTACAAATAACTGGAGACAGACTTGTGTGGACATTTTGGTGGAGTAAAGCAGTGGGTTGCAGATTGCCACAAAGC